TGATACTTTTTCTTGTAGAAATTAGTAATATCGATAAATCATTCAGAAGTGGTTGAAAATGAATGAGATTCATTTACTTTTTCTGGATAATCACAGAAGTGAAGTTTTGAAAGCGGTGCTTTTCTGTGGTTCCCCCAAGGTGCTGATGATTTTCTTTATTAATATATTGGATAACAAGCGGCCTGCTTTTCTCATTATTCTTCCTGATGATGCATATTTCCGTCAATATCGACTGCTAAGTCAAAAGTATAAAGCCTTAAGAATTGCCAACCAACCTTAAAATTACATGTAGAATTACTGCCTCTGAAATTTCAAATATATGACTTGGCTTCATCTATATAATATGTAACAATAATTGACTCATCGTTTACTTTATAGACTATGTATATTTGTTATTAGTGTCAGCTGTTATCTGTAAACGAGTGGAGATTGTCGGTGTTGAGTTATATTTGCTGTTTGAAAGTCGTTTTAATTGTTTCAATTTTATATTCTATATCAAAAGGTTTTGACTACAGTACATGTATTTTTCTGAATTGGATACACTGTGCACTTGTCATTTGTGTTAATATAATATAATTTTTGAGTTTTATTTGCTGCTTTCATCGTATATTCATTTTCCATTAGTATTTTCAATATTCAGTTAAGGTAAAAGCGTGAACAATAATTGATATGGCAGCTGACAAAAAAACAGAGTAAGTAACCAACTCAAAAAAAACATGTACTCCAAATTTTGATATGATCACCTTATAAAAACGAAATATTTTAGAAAAAACTATTGTTACACATATATAACGCCTGTGTCTGACACAAATGAAATAAATTAAATTTTAAAGGCTGTAATTTCAGGGTTGGCAATTTGTAAGGCAATGTCCTATCACAAATTGCGGAACAAGTCAATCCAAGTTTTCTGTAATCGTACTAGGCTCTAGGCTCAAAACCTCTGGTAAAATCGTACAAAATTGTATCTACAAGAGATTGGACTGGAGATTGTATTAATAGTTTGAATATTTCAAAAAAATTGAAATAGTTAGGACCTTTTTTAAAAGCAATGTATATTCCGAATAAAATAAAATAACTCTAAAAATGTCACTTCCTTCTCATGAACACATGCTGCGTAGACTTTTATTAATTTATTTTAGACATTTTTGCAGAATGAAAAATGGTATTTTCACCAAAATATCCCTTCTTTGAAGGAAAAGTCTGAGTCATGCTATTAAATTATATATTATATCAATTTAGTAACAGCGCATTCCCTTTAATGCCGTCAACATAAATGAAAAAATCTGGAAGAAATTTTCACTCCAGTTTTTGAAAAAAAAACAAAAAAATTACTCAAGTAAATTTACTTCATGAAATAAAACACCTTTTCACGAATGCATGATGCGGACTCTGACTTGTCTTTTGAGGTATTGCCAACAAATTAATATTTAGAACATGATTACCTACATAAATATGTTATTTTGGTGAAATGGAAGTATTTTGGTGAAATGGAAGTATTTTATTCTGTTAGAACATTTGAAATAAAAGTTTTTTACCTGGTACGCCATCCTGAAAACAAGATGCTATTTTACGAATTTTTATTGTGATAAGAAGTTCCTGAATTACTTAATTTTTAGACTTAAATATGTACGTTTGTTTTCAACACCTCTTCACGTGTTTCGATCACCAAGTGAGCATCTTCAAGAGGAAGAAAAAACTGTTTAATCTCCCCCTTGAAGATGATCACTTGGTGATCGAAACACGTGATGTCGAGGTGCTGAAAACAATGATTTGGTGTTGGGATAAAACTTTAGTATTATTCCGTATTAAGTACGTAAATCTATTTGAAAAATTTAAAAAAACTAGTGTAAGCTGTATAAAAAGGAAAATTTAGCAAATTCGACTTCAAATTGAAAAAACTGTGAATGCCCGACTGCCGAAGTAGAACAGGAATTTTTGATAAAAATTGAAATGAAAATTATAAGTACGTAGGTATGAATAAAAGACATCGGATTTCGTCTACTGCAGTCTATGGTTAGCTTTTGATATTGTATTTATGATTTATTCAGATATATTGTTTTTTTATTACCAAGATGTAATTAACGTCACTTTAAGTTTTCAATTTGATGACTATTAGTATTCTATAATCAAATTTGTCCTTATTTGGAGGTACAGATTAGTAAAACGGTTGTACATCCACTACTCAAATAAACTGGTATATTCCCGTGAAACTCACTGAATGCCCCCGGTAATTGCAAAACGATATGAGATATTTGGAAAAGATTTGTGCTTATTTCACAACCTCATACATGGCACAGGATATGATTCATCTTAGCTTCGTCCTTGCCTTCCTTCATTCCAGGAAACAAGACTGAATACACAAATTAGCAGGTGGGCATGAATACCTTCGACTGGCGGCAATGATTATTATTATTCACCATAAAGAAGTCAACGAAAATAATCACCGATTCGAAGGTGAATATCAACTTCCTATTGCTAAATTCCCTGATCCGAATTCTGATCGAAAAAGTTCGAGAAACCGAGAAATATTCTCATTAAAATAAAAAGGAAAGTGTTTAGTTAGTTTGTAGTCTGCAAGGACGAGACATTTAAGCCCCATTACACAATTTTAAGGAATGGTCAGAGTGTGCTTTGCATTGAAAGAGAATGTGTTATTATTGACATAAGCCTGTTTTGAAACGTACGTTATTTTTGTAGCGGCGAACAAATATAATAATTAGTTTTATTAGTTTAACAAATGATGTCAACACTAAACAGAAGTCGGAGCTAATTTCAATAATTCATGAATGTATATGTATATAAACAATTCAACAATTTTTTTCAAGGCAAAAACTCAGCTTTCCTGATAATTTCTGGTTCTTTTTGCAAGACTTGCTGCTGTACACGGTCGAACGACTTTTAGCCAACTAATCGTTCTCAAACGATATATTCCGCCTTTCAAATAAATTCTCCCACAGAAATCTTGAATGAAAATAAAAATAATTGCCTTACCTTAACAGTTAAATCGTTGTATGGAGCAAGTCAGTTAACATATGTACACAAATATCAACAATAAGCGTTACACAAACACTAAAATAGCACTATTTCGATTAGACTACAATATGTCTCTACGTAAATCAGCTGAAACAACAAATTTACACATTGAAACCATCTAATCAAAACGTTCTATTCGATCTTTTATTTTGACGTCGGGATAGATATTTTCATTCAGTATCTCATTACTCGGTTCACAGAACACTGATTGCGGACAAAAAATGACAAAAGAAGTCGACGTTGCCAAGTTATATTTACTTTGTTCCTTATCGGGTTTTTTCTCCACCACCATTTATCCACATCTACGATCCTACCAACGCAATCAATGTTGTTTTGAGATTTTCAATAAGTATAGGGTGGATCATATTCGGGAGCATTAACGCGAAAATTCACATGACCCATACCAATCAAACATTAAAAATAGTGGCTAAATTATAACAAATGTCAAATTTAATGTCTCTCAGCTTGTGATTTGATCACTATCTCATTCATTTAATTATTTTAAACTTTGGTATTGCCAAAAATGCCTTTGCTCTGCTCAAATCAATTAATATCCAGATTCTGAACAACGGTAATATATTTTATTTAATATAGTTCTAAAATATGGTTTTGGATAAAAAAAAGAATAACCTCAGAACTGTAGAAAAAAAGTCTTTGAAAATATTATATTTCATAAACTCGGCAACGCCTGAATGTGACAGCGATGTCCTTGACAATGTCTCCCAGAGTCCAATAGTTGAAGCTGCTTTGGATTGTGTTATCATGTTACCAGGCGCGTAATTATTTCATTGTTGATTCCCAAAAAAATATTTTACATAAGGCGAGTTCTTGAACAGAAAACTTCTAATGTTTTTCTTCTTGGTCTGATTGATCTATCGGATCACTCGTTGGATTTATTGGCGAATTTAAAAACTTGTCTTTATTGGAGGGCACCATCAGCAGATGGCGGTGCAAAACTCTCAGAAAACAAAATATCTTCAAGTGATATTTTGTAACAAAATTTTAACAAACATTTGTATTTTAGGGAAAACAATCTTTATTTGAAAAATAATACCAGTTGAAGATAAAGCAGGGTGAATATAATGGAATTTGTGTGACAGATAATCTAACAGAGGAATTTTTTTTATTGTTTGCCTACAAAATTATTCGTTGTAAGTTTCTTCTTGAAAAGTGGGATAGATAGATGGATAGATGGATATACCTTCAGTTATGAAGAACTAAATCAGCCTTTGTGTATTTTCGACATTGGCTCACTGAAGAATACTACTAGTTATTTTTTGTAGTTTCAGTAAAATATAATTCACGTTTGTGAAGATTTCTTCTGGAAAATAAAATGTAACTCCAGAATATTTGAATTATTCACTATTAGCGTGAATCAATTCTCGGTTCTACGGCTTGTTATGAAAATTTATAAGTGAATTTCCACATATGTAATATATTATGTAAAAGGTGGTTATTCTTACTCAACCTCCAGAAGATTATACACAACGAGAGAATGGTTCAATTTGTATTATGATATATTTTTCGAATAATCTGAACATTGTATAATTTTTTTGCTTATTGTTCGGTTTCAAATTTTATTTGTAATTTCAGACAGTTTCCATAGCTTGATTGGGGTCGAAGTACTTTTTAGGAATTAGGAATATTTGGCTTTCTTTTCACAATATACCTATAATCTTGAAATGATACATCTTAATAGGTAGAATTGGAACTTCTAGCGTGAATTGAATATATAGAAAACTTCTTCCATGCCAGAATCAAAATACTGAGAGTTAGCATCCTCCAGAGATGAATTAGACAGTTTCAGTAATCTCTTGGCATCGAGAGAGACAGCATTTTTGTTTCAGCGTGAAAAAAGTGTTTTCAATAAAAACTGTGAACTTTCCAAAGCTGCATCAACTGCTGTCACCTGGTAGACGTTTCCATTGTATTATGACAGATGACAGACGTCATAATTGACTAAATTGACAAATAGTAAAATCCCAGATGCAGGTGAAAGAGTTGAAGCTGAATTAATTCAATAATTCAATTAATAATGCATCAAATTTCCTATACCGGTCGCACTTGAACGATGAAGACGAACTCTTCAATAAAATTCCGCCTTTTCCCGAACCCCGTTCCTTGTTTGTTCCTATGAGAAGACTTTTGGGGCACCGTGAAAAGTAGACCCAGGACTAGATGCCGCCCGGGCGGCATACCGGTCAGGATGCTCAGCCTCGAGCAGGAAGTGGGTGCCTGGGACTCCGTCCTGCTGGATCCCTTGACCGAGGATGCTTTCATGGCCAACCTGCAGCAGCGCTTCAAGAGAGACCACATCTACACTTACATCGGAAACGTTCTCGTCTCAGTGAACCCATATAAGAAACTGGCCCTATATTCGGCTGACCTGGTCGAGGCCTATGTGGAGAGAGGACCGTTCCAGCTGCCGCCACATATGTGAGGATTTTTTAGATTTTATTTTAGAAACAGAATACTTTTGAAATTGGTGGTACTTCTAGTGAATCTGAACCTCTTGAAGAATCATCAATATTTCAGATGAATAACAAATATTTCAGAAAATGAATTATAACAATTTAGAGCTCATACTTCACCTTTGAGGTAAGGAATCAAATGTTATCTAAGTTCGCATTAGAATTGTTGTATAAAGAGCAATCTATTGAGAAGTGAATGTATGTAAATAACTACATAGGCCTACATTATGCTTTATACTCAAAAAATTTACAAAGAATGTGTGGAAAGTTTTAACAACTTTTATCAGTACTACAAATGCTATTTATTTCATGTGATATTGACTATGAATTCGTTATAAGTTTGATGTAAAGTTTAGAATTAAATACACCTTGAATAGGCTTCGGGGAAAAACAGAAATATTGTAGCATCCTAATGTAAAGTCTTTTATAGATGTTTCTGATCAATTGAAAGCAAGTTCTCTACCATAGAGAAAAGAAATTAAATGGTATTGTAACCTCGCATTTGGATTGTCATTAGGTATATCATTAGTGAATGCATTTACTAATGTATGCATTTTTCAACAAGTGGAAATATTTTTAATGGAGCTCAAAAAGTGAAGCATTGAAAACTTACTGAAAACAATGACCTATATCAGAATAACAGACTCAGAATGAAAATAATGAGCATCATGTAATAGATGAAGTTCAGCCATCTAGAAATCATAATATGATGGAAAAGAGAAAGTTTTTGGCCTTCTACTTCTCCATCTTGGATACAATAAATGCAATAAATGTGGGAGTCTTCCAATTTCAAAAAATTAACTCTACACAACTTTCAGACACAAACTGGAAGAGAAAGCCCTTTTGAAACAGCTATTTTCATATAAACATTGAATTACACAAAAGAAAAATAGTTCCGAAACAAATACTTTTATATGAACGCTAAATTATATGAAAAACACTTTTCTCTATTCCATTTGTATTCCAAACATTCGTAATGGAATCAAATTAGATATCATTCACAGGATTTTCTACCGCAAAACATCGGATATCTAGTAGCAGTGAGGATGACAGTGATCAATGTAAGTGAAATTTTACTTTCTATATTTATATTGTGTAGAATTCCTGTGAATGATACCTGATTTGATTCCATTACAAATGTTTGGAATAAAAATGGGATAAAAGAAAGTTTTTTTTTTGTATAATTCAGCTTTCATAGAAAAGTATTTTTCTTGCAGTTTGTGCCTGAAAGTTACTTCTTTGCATGATCTACACATCTTTGTATAGAGTTAATTTTTTAAAATTGATTCCTTCCTTTCTTTGAAAGATTCCTCCATTTTTGTATAAAGATGAAGAAGCAAAAGGCCAAAAAATTTCCCAAAAATTAATCCCTTCTAAAAATATACCCTTTCAATTCCAACATTATAAAAGAATGAAAAATGTTTAAGGGAACAATATTAAGATGCATTTCCTGTTATAAATTCTTTTGTTGTGTTTTTTGAAATTCATATGTGTAATAAATAAGAATCATGCTGTATGTGAAATTAATTTTATTATAAATGAAAAAATTTTACTGTTCTAAAATAAACAATCCATAAGGGGCGATGCATAATACAGCGTGACTCACGGTCGATGGTAGGTTAGACGTTTCTGGAACACGCAAAGCATGATTTTTCTGAAAATTTCACCTCTCACATTTCCTTACCTGTTCTATCGATCTAAAATATTTTCAGCATTGCGGCGTTGCCACTTCTATCAAAAAGTTCTAGCAATTATATTTAAGCAATTCCAAAAATGTATTAATATACGGGGTGTTCCATTAAAAAAAAAAAAGTTGCTAGGACTTTTTGATGGAAGTGGCAACGCCGCAATGCTGAAAATATTTTAGATCGATAGAACAGGTAAGGAAATGTGAGAGGTGACATTTTTAGAAAAATCATGCTTTGCGTTTTCCAGAAACGTCTAACCTACCATCGACCGTGAGTCACTCTGTATACATACATCGAATGGCAGTATATAGTGCCTGAACCCATATTGAGTGTTGAGAGTCGTACATGCTTATTTTTTGAAGCATTACTCATATGGGATAGTTTCAACAATTTATTTCTAGCTTCTAATAATTCAGTTTATCATATTGCATCAAAATATACTTTCAAAAAATATCAAATGCTTATTTCACCTCATTTTTCAGATATGCTATTGCTGGATCGGCTTACAGATGGCTCAACGATAGAAATGAGGACCAAACTATAATTGTTACAGGTAGGTGGTTTAAATAAATCCTGGGATATTGGCCTGAACTGGCATTTTAGAAAAAAATTGACTGAGAGACATTTTAAAAAATTCTTACATTCCAATCAATATTTTTTGACATTCGTGTTTTGTTTTTCAGGAGAGAGTGGAGCTGGTAAAACAGAGGCTGCTAGAATAGTTTTACAGTTTTTAGTTTTAGTGTCGGGAAATAGTCCGGAAACGAAATTAGTCAAAGACCGTCTGGTGCAAGCAAACACCTTGCTGGAAGCATTCGGAAATGCCAAAACAATGAAAAATGATAACGCTTCGAGATTTGTATGAGTTATAAAAATACTAAAATTGTATGTAGAATTTCTGATGTTTGTTTTTTTTTTCAGGGCAAGTTTTTGGATATAGAGTTTGATTTTAAAGGGGATCCCATAGGTGGACACTTGATACATTGTGAGTATTATCACATTTTGTTCTTACAAATAAAAATAAAACTACCGCATTTTCTTAGTTTTTTTTACTTTTTTTTAGAATATGTGTGATTGAAGACTTGTTTATTTTGTGTTAATTCATGATCATTTTTACAAAATGAATACAAACACTTTTGTCTAATTACCACTAATTGTATAAATAAAAGTAAATGTCTGCTATAAAAATTATTTTTAATGAAGATGCACAAACACTGTAGAAAAATATTGAAGCATAATTGGCACATTGCATTTAAATCATTGTAGACTATATTATCAAAGTTATGGATATTATTCCTAAAACCAAATGCAGTCCTAACCCAAGATAAGATGAAATTGTACCTTAAATATAGAAAAAGTTCGAACATATATATGTAGGCATAATATATTGGCAGAAATGATGAATAACCATACATTTTTTGCGAAAAACTGGAAGCACAGAAATTGGCCAATAATTGTTGAAATAATTTCTTTTGCCACTTTTATATATGGACAAAACCTTTTTTTACAGAGATTTCGTCAAATCCACATCTTTGTTAGGATTGAGTTCATCAATAATATCCTTTATTTCAGAAAAACAAATAGGTTCCAAAAGCATAGATAAAACAGTTGAAAAGTCATTATTGATTTTTGTTGTATTAGGGGTAGTATTTGATTAAATGATGGTTTTATTAACTGCTTCACAGGTGCGGATCATCAATATTTATGTCGTTCAGATTCAAACTTTTAATTTTTCAATTATTATTAGTGCTCTTGAAAGCAAGTATGAATATCAACTGAATATTTTTCAGGCAAGAGTAACAAGTTTGACGTCCTGCGACAGGAACTTTCACATCTTCTATCAGCTTTTATCGGGAGCTGATATTCACTTGTTGAGTAAGCAACTTCTATCTCCACCTTGCTTTCACTGCTGACACATTTCTTTTCAGAGAGCTTGAAGTTGCAGCGTAACGTTGAACATTACGCCATCTTACAGACAGAAAACAATCAGTCTACTCTAACGGAAGAAGACGACAGGAAGTTGTTTGTATATACGAAAAGCGCTTTAGAAGTGCTGGGATTTACACATAGCGAGTCAATCGATATTTTTCGCGTTATAGCGATTATTTTGAAATTAGGTAATTTGCAGTATGTGCCTTGTAATAACATAGACGGTACGGAAGGTTGCTCTATTAGCAATGAGTATGGTGAGTAGACCAGTTTTTTGATGATTTGTGTCAGTCATTTGCATTGGATTCAACATTATTCTTATCATCTTTAGGGACTTGCTCTTCATTACTTTTTCATTCTATAAACTTTTGGATAAAAAGAGCTTTATAAAAAACACCTGCACAGTCATTCATATATATTTTTCTGGGACTAGATGCTGAAGAATTGTTTTCTTAGAAGATTTATTTTTATTTCCCACACATTCGTGTCTAGTAAAAAAAAGAATAATTGATATAGGGGAGAGTAGGGTAATGGGATTCAGCGAGTAATGGAAGTCACCCTCACATCCACAAAACAGTACGAGAAAGCGACGCGTAAACGGTGTCCCTACCCCCGCTCTGCGCCCTCAGTGCTGCCTGGAACGGCTCACGCCAGTCAGCACCCGCGTCACTGAAATACACCGGTGTTATGTTTTTGTGCTCCGCCGCTTACAATTTTACGTTAATCCAAATCAGAAGGTAAGTGTCGAATATCTTGCTTTATGCGACTAAGACTTTCACACGAACTTAGACGGTCGAAGATTTTGAAGACTTTTTTATTTTATACTTTTTCTCAGTAGTTTAATTGTGAGAAATGAGAGTCGTGTGACTCCCATTACCCGCAAGTGATCACTATTACCTGCCACTTTCTAGATGCCCAAAGTACGAGTCAGGACAACTGAAAAGGCTTCCTGGTTTTTTCATAGCCTGGAAAAAGCTATAAGGCTCGTTGAAGGAGGTTCCACTATAAGGAATGCTGTTAAGGTAATGGGGATCCCACTTTTAAGCCTTCAAAAGAGAATAAAAAAAGGTTCTGCCTTAGGACCACATCCAAGACGATTCACTGTCTTTAGTGATGTGACAAAAGCCGAGGTTTCAAACTGGGTGAAGAAAATGGCAAATATTTTTTATGGTCGCACTGCTAATCAAATTAGAAAAGTGGCTTTCGAATATGCTGAAAAATTGAATTGGAGGCGACCAACTTAAACGGGATAACAACTTTTAAAAAACACCTAAATAAGTCTGTTCTTTGAGTTATTTTTGAAAAGCCATCTTGCAGAAAAGATAACACCCCTATATCATAGCATCCTTGGTGAAGAAAGCAACAAGCAAAAGCAAATGTTGTGTCTATTACTAAAGGGGAATCGGGGTGAAACACTTCCACCTAATCCGGAAGTATTTACAGAAGATTTCATCGCTGCAGAAATTCTCCGATCTGAATCTCTCGCAGCTACCAGCACGATTCCCAGTACATCAAAATAATTTCATTCACCAGTGCCGATCACTTAAAACAAATTGATCCACCGGTTCTTAGGATGTCTGAACAAGTAGGCCCTCTTGATTCTCAACCAGATATTGTATTACCAGTAACTGGCACGTCAAACCAAATTAGTGCTAATTTGCATGATTAAATTAAGTTGCCAGAGAAAACACCTGTTATAAATACATGATACAGCTGATAGAAACACCACGCTTCAATTTTAACTTCAACGCCAATCAAAGAAAATCTGACAGAAAAAGAAAATGAAAAAACAGGGGGTAAAGAAAAGAGGTGGAAAGGTAAAGGTTCTAGGTAAAAAGGCTACAATACAGAAGAAAGGTCGTGAAAAGGCAAAGTACTACAAGAAACGAACCAAACTTCTGTATCAGATGTTAGCACTAACGACTTATGCCAGGACTATGAGAATGACGACGCAGAAGATGCTGGAAACAGATGCCTAGTATGCAACGATTCTGGAAAAAACAACGAGATGAGGTTCAGATGCACCTCATGTGGGCTATAGGCTCACGCGATATGCACCGGATGCAACTCAGCTGAAGGTTATGTCTGCGATATGTGCTAGATTTTTAGCCCCCAGGCTGACCACCATTACCCCTATGTTGGTGTAATGGGAGTCAAATGTTTTTTTTTCACTTCTATAATATACACAGTTGATTGATAAAGTGACTGATGAATTTCTAATAATAGTTAATTAAGTAAATGATGTTCACAGGCGGTTGCTATAAATGGTTTGTCTATGATTGACATTTTGAGTTCTCGTTTAAGCGACCCCCATTTCCCTCTTTTACCCTACTATCACTGTATGGATACTTCCGAATGTCAATTTTTATAATCACAAATATTTTCAGTTGCTGGACAAATCATATTTCATTTTCTATCTGGCCATGTTGAATTATCATATTTTTATATATCTACGAGCAAATGATATCATTAACATTCATAATTGAAACATAACTGTACGTATATGAACGTTCCCTTTAATTTACATCGTGGCAACTACTTTAAAGTAAAAGTAAAGTAAAAAACTCAGTTTTCAAAGATAATTTAGAGAATATTGGACTATGATCAATTTTCGAATCAGAACATGCTTGACATGAGTCAAATTATATATAGGTATAATAAATGTTCAAAAACTGACTTGAAATAATCAACATACCATTGTTTTCAAAGGTATCCTGTGGAAGTTTGGAATGTTTTGGATTGCTGAGCCTGTGAAAGACATGCCCTGAAATTACAAAATATGAAATTCTGAATGAATCATGTAATCGATGTAAAAATTCATTTTTATAAAAAAATTATCCAAATTCATTTTACATATTTCAAATCAATTTTTGTTCAAAGGATTATATGTATGTATCTTGTATTTTCATTGTGTATTCATTTTTTGGAGTTTATGTTCAAACATAAATATGATTTGGCCTTGAAATAAATAACTAACTAAATGACAATGGTCTCTCTTCCATTATATGTTCCAATTATAGAATGAAGTCGATTATCTCTGTGATTCAAATATACTAGGTTCAGATATGAACTATAAGTTGATATTATCAGTTATTAAACTTGAAAAAAGTCACTAAGACTATTTTGGAGGTTTATCTTCCTACAGTTATCTTTTCAGTTATCCCTATATACAGTATATTATGATATCTGTTTATGAGTATGCAGTTATCACAGTAGATGTGACCTTGTAGTTTTGTAGGTATATAATTGAGCTGTTCTTTAAGTCAGTGTTTTAGTTTGCTATGCTTCATTGGATTTTACATATTTATCACCATTTCTATGATTTCATATTTTTCTTTTCTATTTAATTTCTGATGCTTGCTTTTAATATTTTAATTTTTCTTGGGAATTCATCCAAATCCTCTCATGTGATATTTTTTCGTACTGTGTAATGTTTTTTGTCTTCAATCTTATATAAATTCATTTTATTCGTTATTTCTATTCTGGTTTTTCTTATGTAATTTTACCTTCTTTCTGTTTTTTTTCTGTGTAATTATGTTCATTCTGCATCTGTTCTTATATAGTTTCCATTCAGTTCATTTCTTACCTTGAAAATAAAGGACTTGATAGGTAGAATTGGAACCACTAGCTTAAAATGATATTTGAAAATGCTGTCCGGTTTTAGTCGCTAACTAACTTGGTTAGCGAAACGCCTGTTGAGAGAAAATATGTTTGTTTTGGTATCGAAAAAGTGTTTTTAATAGATTGATAAGTCCAACATTATTTTCACATTTCAGTTGGAATATAGGGATTCCCCTCTATTCCGATTTCTAGAAATTGGTCTTAATACTTATCTTGGCATTCCATTTTTCCATTACAATTGTTTTATTTTAATATCCCAAGCATCCTCCGCAGTTCTTGTGAAATTCGTCCATCTCTTCCCAGTTCTGAAGAATATATTTGCATGTATGTAGATCCAAAGTTGCTTGTTCTTGCAAATGCTCATCATAACCATGTTAAAAGTGGTTCAATGATGGAATTGAAAGAGGTTTTTCCGTATCCTTACGAATGACAACCCTCGGTCAAAACTTCACAGTCCGAGTCATGTCCTATCAAATGTAAAAAATCTTGCGTCCATTTTAATATTCAACAAAATTTGTTTTAGAATTATTTGAAGTCTGTGAACTGTTGGGTGCGGAGCACAGGTGGTTGCAAAGATCGCTGACGAGTCTGCAAATCGACGACGGCATTGTAAGCGACCTAAATGCGGCTGACGCCGCCAAAATCAGGGATGTTTTGTGTAGAACTTTGTACAGTCGTCTTTTTACTTGGTTAATCAGTAAAATGAACGATGTTATCAAGGTAAAAACTAGGTTACCATAGAAGAAAACGATCTCATCATTTGGGTTTTTCAGGCCAAAACCTTAGGAAAGAAGAAAGTGTTGGGGGTTTTAGATTTATACGGCTTTGAGACTTTCGAACAGAATGGTTTCGAGCAACTCATGATAAATTACTGTAACGAGAAATTGCAGCAGTTCATCATAAGTTCAACCTTGAAGGAAGAACAAGAGGAAATGGTTAAAGAAGGCCTTGAATGGACTAAAATAGAATATTTTAATAATATGTAAGTATTTAAGTTATACCATCACAAAAAGAAATATGAATGAAAATGGGATGAGTTTATTGGTATTTCAAGTGGTCTAGTGAATTAACTGACTTTTTTGTTATTGTATTTTCAGAGTTATATGTCAATTGTTAGAACATGAGAGCCACGGCATATTGTCGTTGTTAGAAGAACCCCGTGTTCAAACAGACGCTGCATACTTTGCCAGAGTAGGACAATGCTGTGCTGGCCACTCGCATTGTTTAGCAGCAGACTCAACACTGCCACTTAGCTGTTTTGAGTATGTACCATCCAAAAAGAGTGAATTTTCTAACCAGGAGAAATTACATAAAAAGAGATGATAGATATCACGTAATCTCTTTGTGACTTAGGCTTTGAGTTCAAATGTTATTTTTGTGCTTTTTAGGCTTCCATTTGTATTTGGTTTGTACTATTGGATTCCGTTCAAAAATAGTATATATTATTATATCCAGATCAGGTACCTTATCGCACTTTCATGAAATTCAGTTTGTACTTTATCTAGTTATTCTCTATTCATTCTAGGGCAATATTTGCATTTAAGCATTGCTATGACCTTAAAATAAATAAAATGTATAGATGCCATCTTTTTGTCCCACATTGAGTTTTGTTTACAACCCTATTACCCAACTGGATATAGTTGTTTACATGTTTATTGAACATTGTATTAAGAATTTCCACACACTATACAAGGTTTTACAAGAACAACTAAAAACAAAATCAAGGTGATATCATAGTTTATTAGCCCTAAAAATACGAAGAAACTGCAAAATTCAAATACATATAAAAGTAGATAAAATTTTGTAAACGAACATAAACAAGAAAAATAATTTGACAGATGTTGAAATAAGTAAGACGACTGACAAAACTTGATTTTTGTCAAAAGTGATTTCCGAGTTTGCCAAAATCTTTTTATTATTTATATTTTTATACCTGACATTTCATTTACGATTACGGAAGACATGTAAGATGATAGGCAATGGACGAAGTGTTCTGGTTATCATCACAACAGATACTACACCATTAGTTTGGATTTCCGATTTTGTTCCATAAATAGTGGGTGTGGCTTCGTTTTTATTGGTTGAATTAAATAATCTGATAGGTAAGCAATTAAGTCCACCCAGACAATTCCCTATTTCTTTCCTTTGAAATTGTTTCTGTATTTCTGAATGTCTATTGCCTGCCTATATAGTCTGGGATGGTGGTTCTGAGTTCTATCCACCATAATATGGTTTATTCTTGTTCCGTGGTAGAAGTTTGCATACAAACAAACAACTAGCTGATATTTTGGCTAAATCAATATGTATAGAAGAGCATCTCTATATTTTTCCTTCCTTCAAGGTTGAGACTGGAATGAAATACAATGTCAAATGTTCAAATAATAATCAGTGGCATGTGATTCTCATTTTCATTTTCTAAATTTTCAAGACACCGTTTACAAAACATTATTTGAAACACTAGAGCAATGCTATCCTACATCACTGAATACTACTTCCCACTGATTCGCTAGAGCTGGTTAGAAAATTTACTCTTTTTAGTACCATCCCCTATTTGACTTCCTTTCCCTTCAACTCATTATTTTCCAGAATTAGACATTATGCAGGCGCGGTCTTATACAAAGTACGCAACTTCATAGAAAAAAATAGAGACAGCCTTCCTAGAGAGGTATCTCGAGCGATGTTTCGATGCGATCATCCCATCATGCAGTTCCTATTTCCGGAAGGGAATCCGAAAAGATGCAATCCGAAGAGGCCCGTTTCCAAATCCTTTCAGCTGCAGGTCTCGCTGGAATCTCTGCTGAAGGTTCTCGGAGGCAGGCAGGCTCACTACATTAGGTGCTTGAAGCCGAATGAGATGAAGCAACCCAGGATATTTGAGATGGCGCTAGTACAACATCAGGTGAATCAAGTTATACATTAATCGGGCGGAATGTAAAGGATTGTCAGACTAGGGAATGTAGAAAATCTAAGTACGAGTATGTATATTGTTCGTATATATTTGTTGAAATGAAAATAATAACAGAGAATGTAGAATATACAAACAAGAGTGAGCAATGTTGGGGGAGAGAATAAAAATGGAGTAAGGCTAACATGTGCAAACTAATGAGTGTTAAAAATGTCAATACATGGTGACTAGGGAATATATTATGTGTGAGTCAACAATTCAGGATAAAGAATTAACTAGATCTAGTGAAGAGTCACTGCCCCATGTTGGGCGCCACTTTTGTGAAATTGAACAGATCTCAAAATCACACCTAGGCTTGATCCAATATATTCACTAAAAAAAAAACCTGTCATCCTACTATCGGTTCTAGGTTAGATATTTGGGCTTGCAGGCCATAGTGCAAGTATGGCGATCAGGCTACTGCTATCGGCTATCCTATGTTCATTTCCTTTCCCGCTACAAACTATTATGCTGCAACACGTGGCCAAGATGGAGGGGGTCTCCCATCGAAGGCGTCTCGCTGGTCCTCAGATCGCTTCCGATTCCCAGCGCTGAATTTACTTTCGGCAGAAATAAGCTGTTCGTTAGGAGCCCAAGGACCGTGTTCGAATTGGAAGACTTTCGGAAGGCGAGGCTGCAGGATTTAGCGCAGTTGATTCAGAAGATTTGGAGGGGATACAGGGATAGAAAGTGCTTTCGGAAAATGAGGCACAGCCAGATGGTTATTGCTTCGGCTTGGAGGAGCTGGAGGGTGAGTAACATTGTCAGTTTTTTATAATCATATGAACGAGTCTTGCAACTATCAGTATTCTTATTTAGTACACTATATCAAATTTATTTTTAATATAAAGCATTATCATGAACAATATCTTTTTTACGAATGTGTGAGAATTATATTTTCATACTCGACTAAATAAGTCTAGCTTCTTAACGAAACCGGTTATTTCATTTGATGAATGATCTTTCAGGGCACGTAGCCAATGAAATCCTGCCAAACTATGAAAACCTTATTCAGTCCTTAAGACAGAGTACGAAGTATATGCTATCTTACAAACAGATAGCATACACTGTCTTCCGACAGTCCAAGACTCTTCATATGATGATTCAGGCCAATAAGTATGCCTTTTAGACGTCGTAGATCATCCCTGCGGTATTCTAATTAGTTGGTGACAGACTTCAAACGATGTACACCGATACCATAGAATTGGCCTTACCTGCTAGGTTTTAAAAAAGTCTGAACTCCTCTTGCAGCCTAGGTATTCATTGCTCATTTGGCAAAACCTAAAGTGATGCCAATAACAGGTTCTTGACCAATGAAACCTCTTGCAGCACCTTCTCTTTCAAGGTAGTCAACAGCTTCATTATCTTCCAAGGATTCAGTTCAGTGTTGCCAGGAATACAGACTTGAGACAATTTGTCATTCCTTTCTGCATTTTTTGGCATATCACTACCAACTTGGGACATTGCTAGGTGAGAACCAAGTGTTTCCAAAACTACATTTCTATCCTTTAACCGACGTGAATGGGTGAAATTTTACATGTCTAGTGAATTGAATAACATTCAGAAACATACCAAATGAACTGTACGTTTACAAAAACAGTGAATGTTCTGAAATATGGTTATTACCTGTTACGACCTCTATTGTAACCTGGTTTGTCTAATTTCAGGAGTTAAAATATGGAATTCCGTTTCAAGGTCGTAGACATTTGTGGTGTCTATATCATGTGGTATGATATACTGATTTATGCTACAGGCTTTTTAGAAAGTAAAAATGCTAGACAGTTAGTAATTCGAGGCATTCTTGTTTTTGCCCTGCTAGATGACTCTAAGAAAGATGTAATAATTTAATGACAACAGGTGAATGAATAATTGCACTGAAGAAAGTTTTTATTGTAAATGGTATCAATAAATTATAATCGTTTCCTGTATTTCTGAGGTATATATTCAACATTTCTAGTCTTGCATAAGGCACTTCCATTTGAATCTGCTGCTGTTTTTCAACAAAAAAGAGAAAACCGAGCATTTTCAGTGCTTTCTGAGATACTAAGTTGAATGTTTGTTGAAACAAAGCTTTTATCTATAATTATACCCAGATCTTTACATTCAGTTTTTTCTTTCAACTACCATGTTGTGCAATAGAAGCAAGTCAAGTATCATCAGCAGATGATATTCACAAAACTACCATGGACAAGCTAATGAATGAGTGCCTGAAAAAAACCTGCATTCATTGACAAACTGAAAAACGAACAAAATTTAATGCTGGAGGAGTTCTTGAAAATGGAACTGCTCAATACAGTAAGTGAAAAAAACCAGATTATAAAAAACACAATTGAAACTAAAAGTGATAAAAAAAAGGGGAAGCAAGCTATGATTCTGTTAGCATCCAAACTCAAGACATGTGAGGATGACCTAGACCATAAAAACGTTGTACCCAAAACAATGACTAATGATACAGCAATTTAGGTGGCTCGTTACGATGCCAAATCTACAAAATTTTACAGGAATTACCGACGATGGTGGTAGATCTACAGGAAAGGGTAATGAGAAAATGCTAAAACATGAAAATGGTTCAAAAAATCTAAATAAGAGAGAACATTGTGGTAAATGGGTCCTTTCAAGTGTGTACTAGAAGTGACTCAAGAGATCATGGATCATGGCATAGAAATAATATGGACTGTGAACAAACCAAACCTGAAGGTTCCAAATAGCATCTCTCATCTAGGAACGATAATAACTCATGTAGGTGATAAGAAGCTATCTCAGAACAACAGGAAGTCTGAACCACCAGTAAATTGCAAAAAATATACCCAGGATGTCTTACCAGAGACAAACTGTTTTTCTATATGTCAATGACCTAACTATGAATGTATCCGAATTTACAATTTTTTAATTTGCTGGTGACACATCTTGCATAGTAACAGGCAATAGCTTGGATAACCTATCAGTGGAATAGAGGAATAGTACAATTTGAAAAATGTATTATGTTTCATATTCAGTGATGAATTATGAATATTAATATGTAAAGTATATTAGGCATTATATTATATAGTCAATACCTTCAGTCGTCAATGAAAAAAATACTGGTCAACTGGACATCACTGTGGTTTTTCAATGAAAAGTTTACTCTAAATAAAAAAGAAACTGTTTAACAGGCATACCTTAGACATCACTCTTTGGTCTCATCAGTGGATTTTTTTCACTTTCCCTACTATTCCTTTTTTTTTCAGCGTCGGCAATTTTTATTGAATCTCTACAGAACGTTGCCTGAAGACGCGGACTCTCCTATTTGCTGGGACTGGCCTCAAACTAGCCAGACACTGTCGGAATGCAGCGCTTTATTGAAAAAAATCCACCATCGTTGGAGGTGTCACAAATTCCGCATGAAATTCGACCAAACTGCTAGGAATCGTATGCGAGAAAAGGTCACCGCCAGTTTCATTTTCAAGGACAGAAAGTGCTCGTATCCCAGAAGGTATGTGGTGAAGATTGAAAGAACCCCTAATTGGCAACTTTCAATTTGTAGCGTGTCCCATCCCTTTCTTGGCGATTACGTTCGGCTGAGACAGAACCTCCAATGGAAAAAGATGTGTTTGGAGAATAATGACCAATATGTAGTGTTCGCTGACATCATTCACAAAATTACCAGGTCCAGTGGAAAAGTAGGTTAAACCACAGAGAAAAATATTTATATCAATGTGTCAAAGCCGTGGTCTGCATATTCTTATGCTTGACGTTTGGTCTACGGCTGCAGGAGACATCATCAGATGCGATGAGATAACGGTAGAAGTGCTCTGGTTGTTACTCACAGCAGCAAGGTTTGAATCTCCAGTTTCAGCTTGTTGGTAGTAGGCGTGGTTTCCATTCCATTGATTGAAATTAATGACCTCTGATTACGAGTGTAATTTACTGCAGGAAGCTATTCTTCGTTTATGTTAAAGACCTATTCTTTTCCGTTGAAATTGTTTTTCTATTGCTTCCTAGTATAGTCTTGGTTAGTAACTCTCAGTTCTAATGAGCACATTGTTTTTTTGAACGTTATAACATGGTTATCTTCTCTGAATGCTCATTCTGCAACTGTTGAATCATTGGTGTGCTGCAGGCAAAAATTTCTCGTGTGTCCAGAGAGGTACTTACATTATTCTTTGTGGTTTCAATGTATACCGATCCACAGCTAAATTTTTTTGTTTTACAAACTCCAACTGAAGTTTTTTTCTTATTGCATACTATTTTTAATAAATGAAATTGTATACTTTACTATTACAAGGGATTCGGTATTCTCCTGGTGTTTTGGGATTCTTAGCAACACTAAGAGTATACTGGATTCCTTGTAGTTGTGGATTGGTCTACATCGGAACCATGAAGAGAAGTATAAGTCTGGGGCTCTATAAATACAACAAAAATTATCACCTGGGATATACCGATAAATCAGCAGTAGCAGAACATGGAGTCAGAGAAGGTACTCAAGACTATAGAGGGAGGGAATGAAAATTAAAATACAAAAACGGGTTCAACCAAATAGAAGATGGAATCACCATAAATGAAGTCTGACAGAGAACTTCGTCGTTGCTTCATGGTCCTTGATAATATCCAATGCGTTGATGAAACGCCAGGCATAAAACCCACAGACCATGGTCAACAAACCTGACAAACAGTTTTGACACAGATACATCTATTTTCCAATTCTGATATCTGGGGATGGTTTACATTTCAGTTCGTTCCTATTCTTCTGGTGATATCGACGAGGTCGATGTTGGTTTTAGATCAGAGGACATTGCAAATCAAATACAGAGTGCCTGCCACCGAGATATACAGGATGTCTCTTTCACCTTTCCTTGATGATGTTGCAGTAGTCCATGTGAAGGCGGTAAGTGTTAGTTTCAGCTTGCCATGCTTGGCTTGTTTTGATCATTAATTACTTTCCTTACAATTGCAAATATTTATGGTTCCATGGTTATAAAAAAAATTAATAAGGTAGATATATAGTTTATTAATCTCTACAGATCCTTTAGATTATATGAACAAGTAAAAAAATAAACGATCTTTGATGTCATCTCGTGAGATTAATGTCGGAGTGCCACAGGAAATGGTTGTGTGTGTTTTTTATCGACCTGATTTCCTGAACCTCTCGAAGTTTACGTTGTTTTCAAATTCAGGAGATGATTGAGAATCACTAGTTGACCATATGATCAAATAATCCAAAAAAATGTTTGCAAGTATCTGAGTCATAATAAACTTCTCTGAAATAAAATATATTATCTTTATGAGCTAAAACTCACAACAAGCAAATTTTAAGTTACAAATTGCGAAAAATTATGAAAATTGATTACTTCTTTGTTAGTAATTTCATTCCATCTTTCTGTGGATTATATTATATAATTGTTTGTTTGTCAAAGAGTTTTTCCGAATTTGTTGGTCGTGGTCTGTAGGTTTTTATGACTGACCTTTCGTCTACATCTGTAGAAACATGAAAATCGATGAGACAATGGACAGACTGCTCTAGTTATCTCACAGTGCACACAACTGTGTTCGGGGTTTGGGTCTCTGGTTTGAGTCCATTGAATCCAAAAAGCAGTTTAGATTGGATTATAGAAGTTTGTATGTTTTAATGGATTATAGAATTTGGTAGTAGTTATTCAATGTTAATTTGTGTACCATATTCTATTGAATTAATTTAGGTGTACATCATTTTTACATCTATTCTTGTGCTCTAGGGATAAACACTGCGGCAACGCTACTTGAAAATATGAAGGCTCTCTGCATTACTTTGAAATCACAAATAGTAGTACAATCAGTCTATAACATTTTCCATCATATTAACGAACCAATTGTTTCCTAAGTAGTTACAAGTAGCGCTAGAAAAACCTCTTTTTCTCGCAGTCTTCGCTAGGCAATCCCGAAACATCAAGTCTATCTTCTGACCAGACAAGCTGCCTCTTTCAGAGCGATCTGAGCAAAAAGAAAGGCGACTTTGTATTCCAGACTGGGCACGTCATCGAGATCGTCACCAAACTGTTTTTGGTCGTTCAGAACGCAACCGGGAAACCTCCAGAAGTAAATGTCACTACCGAGTGAGTATTTGAATGATTTTAGAGTGAAATGTATCGTTCTCGCCCCACATGTATTGTTATAATGTTTATTTGTAACTCATTTCCAATATTTATCCCATGAATTGAAATCCTCAGTATTTCATTTTTATGTTCAGAAATAAGTGGTAGGTACCTACTCAGTTTAATTTTTTCTATCGAAGCAAGTTGTGAAAACTCTTCTCAACTGTCAAAATCTCTCAACACAAGAAAACAATGACAGAATATTCAGAACTGCCTAGTATTCCAGAAGATTTCATCCTTGAATACTGTTTCCAAGTTTCTAGAAATAAATTCTTTAGAAAGTAGTGTTAACTTCTGAAAGTAGTGGTTCATATATGAAATCAACTATAGGGGATATTTATTCTTGATAGTTCTTAACTCAAGAACTTAATTTATTCATAGCATTACGACTTTGTCACGAATGAGTCAGAACTACTCATGTCATCGATGACAGTACGTTATTACTTTCATTCGCTTATTTGATATAATCCCAGCCAAAGGAATCTTGTTTAAAATGAAACACATACACACAGGTCTTTGTGGTATTGAAACTTAGTTTTTTGGAAAGAAAGGTCTTATAATTATTACCAAATTCATCATTGTTCCCTTAATGCCATCTTATTGTGTCATTAGGAATGAAAATAGATTCTCTTATGATATTAATGAAGAACTGGGATTTGGAAATTTCGTTATTAACAGAGACAAGTTAGGTACGATCTGATAGGTGGTTCGTAACCATCTCAGAGCAACCTCTCTAAAACTATAGGTTTCTAATTTACTTGAAAGAATTGAATGATCCACGCAGCCAAATGTTTTTGCAATGTCATAACAGCTGCTGTTTTTGCTTCAGTCTCATTCATTTTGAGATATAATTGAGAGTGAGATTTTCACTGAACAGATTAATAAAAACGCAACATGTGTTTCGCTAACTAGTAGATTGAGCAAGTGAAGGACGCCATTCTCTTCTCAACAAGCTCTTCTACTAGTTTTTCAAGAGTTGGCAATAGGTTCAATACTAAATAAGTTCCCTCCTTTGGAAATGATCTACTGAAGGAGTTGTTGATTGCTTCAGATAAAATTGCTAAATCATTTTCTGGTAGATGTAGAAAAACCTTCACAGAAATATCATCGCAATATTTTCATAAAGGCAATACGATCTCTTTGTGGCAAAATTTTAACAGAAATATTTTCAGCTATAGTGCAATAATGGTTATTGATTTCATCTGCTGTGAGAATGGTTATGACTGAAGATCTGTTGAGTTAGCCAAGCAACTCATTAATAATACCTAACTCTCTTAGTTATGTTTTCCATGAAATATTGCCTTACTCACGACCCGTCTGATAATGCTTCTCTATTATCAAAATACAATGATATGATTCATTAACTCATTAACAGATTCACATTACCTTAAATATTGTTGGAAGTGTAAATTTTTGCTTGCGAATTTTATATCCACGGTTTTTTTGGTTTAATTCTCGATAATACCAGGGAGGATGAAATATCGAGGGTGCTTTTAAGACATAAACGGAAAAAAGGGTAACTGTTCATTATCATATCATCGCAGAGTAGTGTTGAGGTGACTCATTCAAACTTTTAGAAATTCTAACTATCGAATATATGCTGATAATTTGTATTATGTATGTTGTCACCAGCTTCCATTTATAAAGAGCAGATAATGGCCTGACGAACTAATGAACCACTGTTAACATCTCACGATATACGATAAGTTATCAATAATATAAACATAATTAATTTTGTTATTTTCAGGTTTGAAGCGAATTTCGGCTCCCAAACGGTAACCTTCACGTTCAAGTGCGGCCTGCCTGAGGTACAGCCCGGCCAGATTCGAGTCCTGCGCAAAGGCAACAAGATGGAGGTGCTCGTGTGACGGGCTTCCTCGCCAAACATATCCTCGCGTACCAGCGTAGCTCACGCACTGCCACTAGAAGTACTCTTTTCGTCCCTCTTCGTTTATTCATCCATTCATTCGTTTGCACAATTCATTTCTAATCGACTCGTTCGTCGAAGAGAATGAACTTTCTATCGGCATAAGTGTAGGATGTGTTTTATTGTTCGGTGGTTAGTGTTTGGAAGGGGAGGTTTACACTTAAGAGGGATTTTGTGTATCAGGGTTGGCACTTGTATTACTTTCGTACCAAACTCCATATTGTTATTACAAAAACTGAATCTATTATGTTATGATTTGCACATGTCATCTTTGACTCGGGTGAATACAACAGCTCTTTGATAATCTTTGTAGCCACATTTCATTATTTGCGGTTAAATTCAATAGGTAGGTAAGACATTTGGAACAGGATTCAAATACTCCTAATATTTTGATTATTTTTTCATATTTCTTCCATAAAGAAAACTGTTCTGGTTAAATACTTCATTTTACTACATCAAGTAATGTCATCATATTTGTATCAGGTTAATAAAATGAACGGATGAATAATGCATCCTATAAAAGTTATAAATAATGATATGTGTGATTGATGACTTGTTTATTTTATGGTAATTCATGATCACTTTAATGAAATGAATAAAAACACTTTTGTCTAATTACCACTGGTAGATTTTATTCATACGACCGGTTTTTTAGTTTGACCCCATTATAAATTATATAACTGAAATCTGAAGTTTGAAATTTCGGTTATATAGAATTTTGAGGTATGCTGCAAGGACAGAGGTACACTTCGATTATTTTAACTTTACCGATACGTCATCGTTGATGTGCATAGTGCATATTAAATAAATCGCGAAATTCTGGTCAAATGTAAGACGAAGTGGCTAATATACCGATAAAAATTATAACGTGTAGGTAATGACAATAAATTAACATTTTCAAATTTATGGAAATGTCGGATCCTAACAACCTCAAAAGTTAGTTTTTATGTAGATGTGACAGTTAACGAAAAAGGTGGCATTGCAATGTTTCCAAAACATTTGCAGACATTCATATTAACAAACTAGTTTCCATTAAATCATCCGTGCATGGATGCAGATACACTGTAAAACTGACGAAAACAATACCCAATAACATAAAACAATGATACTGTCAATATCATGTCTGGCAAATGTAGGTAAATTGTAAAACACTGTCGGCTGTCTGGTTATATCTTTCCACTGCTATGAGTATTAATTGATCATCACTATAACATAAGTCTTTGATTAGAAGACAAATGTTAACGAATTGTCATCTGTTCATTGCGGTTGATAGAAAGAGATGTTACATAGAGGGTGTGTGATTTCTATGATCATAAATTGATGACGCATCAGTAAAGTTAAAATAATCGAAGTGTATTTAAAAGACAGGTAGTTGGGCGAACCAGGATGCCAACTTTAAAATACCACACTGAAAATTCTACGGGTTGTTGAACTTATTGAGCAACTCGATTTATGTAGGTTTCTTCTCTTGAATTTATAAGTTCAACAACCCCTAGAATTTTCAGTGTGGAATTTTAGAATTTTCTTTGGCATCCTGGTTCGTCCAACTACCTGTCTTTCAAATACCTGTCCTTGTAGCATACCTGAAAATTCTATATAACCGAGGTTTCAAACTTCAGATTTCAGTTTTATACTTGATAATGGGATCAAGCCCGAAACCGGTCGTATAAATAAAATCTACTAGTGATAATTAGACAAAAGTGTTTTTATTCATTTCATTAAAGTATAAATAATAGCAGTCAGTACTCAAGAAAAACGAAAATTAAATAGAGGTTCCAAATTCCACTTATCAGGAAAATTGAACAGTTCGAAAATGAGAATAAGTACGGAAACAAGAAACTGCACACAAAAACTGCAACACTCTTGCAACTTGTGTTTTATTAATCAAGTCGGAACTAAACTTCAACTATATTTCATGCCCTGAACAGCAGTTAAGTTGTGTTGGAGTAGTTTTTATGTTGGATGCATTCAATGCCAGATGTTCCAGTTTTTCCTTTCAATTCAAATCTTTAATTTTTGGTTATGAACAATCGTGAAGTCATCATCCTGTCATCTGTATCCTGAGATGATGATACAAAGATATATCTGAAAGAAAATTGGACAGTTGTGGTGACATTTCACACCATCTTCATTTCACCACAAAAGATAAAACTTTGGAAGAGGAGTGGCGCAGCAAGTTAAGGAATAGGTGGTGATGTCCACCGTTTCCATTTTCAATAATCATTTTTATACTTTTTAAATTTGGGAATATCAAAACTCTTAATTCAGTGTTTACACAGCTATAAAACTGCTTTTGATTGATTGAGGACCATGCCAATAACTAACCCAAATATATTTGATATTGATATATAACACATGTGTAACTATGAAGAACCCAAATTATTGAACATATTATTTTTGAATTGTCTAAATATCGGTATGACAGTAAGAATTATAAAATATTGAATGGCAACCCTGATATTTACCTTTATTGTATGTGTGAAAGCGTGAAATAGTTTTTCATTGATACTTTTTAATCATTAATTTTTGTATCACTCACATTGATGATAATATTAATTTCTCTCTTTAGAAATTACAGAATTTCTTTTATAAGTAAAAGTTAAATGACAGTTGAGGTTGAGAAATAGTATAGCAACAAAGGACGTCCTAGTTAGACTAAGTTGACTGCTGGTAATCATTAAGTGTGGACTTTTTTGTAGACCAATATTGTAGTATCATAGTATAAAGATAATAAGATATTAGAACAGCCTTACGAGGATAACATTTGATTAGGAGAACAGCATTAATAGATAGCGCTGGGGAGTTCATGTCCTCGGCATGTCTATTCTTACTGTGTCATACTTTGAATCGCGTAATTTTTTGGATTTGGCAATGTACCAAGAACCAATGAAGAATATTCTGTGATGTGATGAAATTTTTAGAGATTAATTACCGACTTGAAAAAATTAAATTTGAAAAATTTATGTGGTTTGAAAACTATATATTTTCAAAACTATTTCACGCTCTCAAACAGGGGAATTTTTATGGTGATTTTTGTTGAATAGTTTGTTATTTATGACACTAGAATACTTTACTATTATAATGCATTGAGTGTTTTTGTGAAGTCCATAGAATTATTTTCCGAGTTCTGTGAGTTTTATCAACTGCAAACATTTTCAAGATACTGTAAAAATTGAATTTGGGGGAGTTATTGAATGAATTGAAATGATTTTGGGAACTTTCAAATTATAAATGAAGTAAAACAAGATTAACAATTTCACTTTATAAATTAGAAATATTTTTTCAGAAAATTATTGTCAAATATAGTTGGTTATTTCAAAAGTTAATACAATGATATATTGGTTAAAATAAAATATTAAATGAAATTGATGCTATTTTGTATGATAATTATTCTACGATTTCAAAAAGAAAAAACTGGCTCATAGTAAGTGATTCTGTTTGTATTGATGAATATACTAACAATGCCAGAAAGAAGATGGATAATATACTGAAGAAAGGTCATTAATTCTAAAGAGGTTATTACAGTTATTTCATTGCAGATTTTTGTAGACTTTAATTATTGACTTGTTCTGTGTATTTATTGTATATTCTATAGCAATATGTTATTAAATAAGTTATATTTTTAATTTTGTCTTTTTTTGTATTCGATGACTATATAAGAACAAATGACTAGACCTCTGAATGCAAAAAATTCCAGAATCTGATATGGCTTTAATCTCATTCATTTATAATAATTATTGAAGGGTTTGGTACACGTGGATCAAGTACAAATAATAATAGGCCGATTTGTGAATTCAATTTACTGTTTTTGAATCGTTAACTTCATCTACTAAGAATTATGTCATCACCAGTTTTTTGAATGTAACATCCCATTTTTTCCAATTTTTGCAGTTACTTTTCCTAGTTAATTTTGAAAATATCCAATTAATACAGTTAAATTAATTTAAAGTTATTTACTGAATAATCAAAAAAGATTGAACATGAAACAGAAATATGAACTGAAATTAGGTATTGTTATTGCAACTATACTAATTAACTAATGGAAACACGCTGTATAACATTGTATGTAACGACTTCTGTCAAAATTATTGTAACTATTCGTTGTTATATATACAACTAGTTTGCAATTCAAAATTGTTTACCATGATGGAAATTCTTGGAGCATTAGATTTGACTTTTATTGTTGATAGTTCCCTTATTCATAATAGAAAGGAGTCAAAGTAAACAGAAATTTATTTAATGTGAATATCCCGTCATAAAATGAAACTTTGATAGATTATTCACAACCACATCTACTCTACTGTTTTTCAACATTTTCTGGGCTGGTGTCGCTTGCAACAGTGTTAGAGACAGTCTCCATGGAGTTTGGGGTTTCTGTTGCCTCATTTTCTGTTCCAGACGGCTGTTCCAATTCTGAGCTGTTTTGTTTCTCACATTCTATTATGGGCTCAGACTTGTCGTTATTTTCTAAATTACTTGTGCTTTCTTCAACTCCATTAACAATAGGTGCTGTCACCTCAGGAGCCTTGTTAGCCTTCATATTCTCCACAACGTCTCTTGCCAGCTCTCTCTCACTATACCTCTCCCGTAGAGCTGTGAACAGACACAACTGAGCCTCGTACTCTCTTTTCAACTCCCCATTGTGTCTGATCATTGTCTCCAGCTTCTTATGCATTAGGTCCTGACGTTCTCTCTCTGCCCCGATTCTCTCTTCCATGCAATTAATTTTGTTCTCAAGCTGTTTCACTTCCAAGTTCCGGATCTCTAATAAATCTTTCGTTATGCGGACCACATCTTTGAGGGACTCGATCTGCTGACTGTAGGCCTCTATTTGGAGTTCCTGGTTTTTTATGACCTTCGTACGTTCAAAGATGATGCTTTTTGCTTTGGTAAGAGTTTGTTCGGATTCCACTTTGAGTGCGTTTACTTCCTCGTTTTCTTTGGCTCGCTGCACTTTCATGTTCTGGGCTTGAGCTACTTCGGTTTCCATAGCTGCTATCCGTTTTTTGTAGTTTTCGATTTCTTGGTTCTTTTGCTGGAAGCACATTTAAAAATAATATTCATTTCACCTTTTGAAGAGTAAGAAATACTAAAAAAATATCTTCACACAAAAACAAGCAGAAAGTCAGTTTACAAAATGGGGTCTTCTGGTGTCTTGATAATTTTTCTTTAGCTTGGTTGCATTAAGTGTATCTGGTATTATTGATGATACCAAACTTTGCCTGCACTTGCCTTGTTGATTGTTTATTATGAACCAGTTCTCAGCTCTGGCCAATGACCAGATAATAAAAATTTACTGATGAAATTCATCAATGGTATGACAGTTTCTGTCAATGATAAAATGAGTTTCTGATGGTGATTTGAAATTTGTGATAGAATTTATCTCATCAATGTTAGGATTGCTGAAAAGTTTAACACAAATAAAAGCCACTCTTATTGTGAAGAGCAGTTCTATGAGGGCAAGATGTTAGCATCCCTCTAGCCCTTGAAGGGTAAGGACCGACAATCAGCAACTGTATTTCCCAGTTCTCTTGAAATGTTTCTATATGTCTACAGTCAACCTAGCAGCTGAGTTTTTCTGATAACATACTTTTGCAGTAAATGTCAATATCAGGATTACAACGTAGCTGGTAGTTAAGGGTGAAATCAAGCATATATGGAGGAGGAGAAACTACCTCTAGTTTATTCCCGTTGAAAATCTCATTGGACTCAATCAAATTTATTTAAAACTTTTCCCTTACCAGAAGAATACTGACTCTCGACGCGCGTCAGGAGATAAAGTTGATTAGAGAGACTCGCGTCAAGAGATGATGCTAGCTTGTCCAGATGAGAAAAAAGTGTTTTTAAAAGATTTATTTTGTGCCAGAGGTTCTGAATTCTACTTATCAGGCTCAATCAGAGAAATTTGACTAAAGTTTAATGTTGAGTAATTTTTTCTGCCCAGGTAATTTCCCTTTAACAGACATTCTCCGCCCTTGCTAAATATTTACTGAATTTTGTAGTTCTGAAGTGTGACTCTGTATCCTCTGCACTATTTTTTTCTGTGTCCTATCTCCTGTAAATGAAACTTCAGATCAAAATGCAAAACTACTTACCTCATGAACTCTAAAATTTGTGTTTTGTGAATGAGTCATTTATGATTTACACAAATGAAAGCTCTAAAAAAATAATGAAAAAATCACATATTTGCAGTCCGTTCCCAAAGGAAGTTACACTTGTTTGTCGAATTTATACAGAGCTTCTGTACTTTTATCTTTAATAAAACCATCCTAATTTGATGGGAGGAGTTCATTTGTTGTGAAATAGAATAATTATTGATTTTTTAAATTTGAGAGGATACTTATTTGTCAATAATTTTTATCGTCTGGTGATTGAAAAAAATGCTTGTTTTTTGGAGTAGTTTTCATCTATATCTCAAAGTTCTATGAAGAGATTAGTTATACCATATACTTTTTTTTTCAGAAAATAAAAATTACTTTTCTACTGTCGCTGTATTTATAAGAGCTTACCTGTAGTAGTTTTTCATAGTCAGCTACTTTTTTCAAAAGCTCGTCGCTAGAATTTACCACCTGAAACCACTTTAGTTGTTACATTGGACCTCGTATTCACAATTTCACATATGATTAAAGAAAATGCCACTTCACACATGGTACAAAACAAATTGAATTTACCTGTGATTCAGCCATTATGATGAGAGTGAGGAAACTTACTAGAAAGTACGATGTTGATGAGAAATTCTTTAGAGAGAGGCATATTTTTAGATTACTTGGCGACTACACAGTTTATTTTTAGAAATATCACAGTCGATCATAAATTGGTTTGAAATTTCCCCCCTTGCTCAATAGGTTCAATTTCACATGCGATGATGTCAGATTTCAATAACAGCAAGGCATATTTTAGCGACATGCTGTACGAAAAAAAGGTTAGATGTCCTGCCAGGACTCCTATTTTAATTTTCTGCCAAACACTGGAAAAATCTAGTAACTAGTAGCACTGAATTACAAGTCAACATTATGTCCTCCAGAGTTGAGGGGTCGAAGATAGTAGCTTCCCCTTACGCTATTGTGTGCAAAAGCTAGAATCTCCGTACCGTCAACCTTAGCTTGCTTTCCAGCGATCCTCAATCAGCTGCTTGGAACTTCAGTAATATTGAGATCTAACCTTTTTTGGTTTTTTGAGGAGCCACTGGGAGATGGTCCATGATTTTATTTCGTTGACCTCTTGTTCTTGACTTTTTCGCTGAATTTGAAGGGGTTGTCTGTGTTCAATACGTTATAGAGAGTATGCAGCACTGGGTCGAAATCTATCCGAATTCACTCAAAAATGTTTTTGGCACGATTATCAGGATGACATCCACGTACTGATGGCTGAGATTCAGGTTCCAGTGAATGTATAGATTGCGTATGTATTTGTAAGTGTTTACGTCCATTCCAAGGTAGACTTGCATGAACTTTGAATATGGACCGGATTTCAAACTGAAGAGGTCGAATGAATGTCTTAAGTTACTAAAATCATGGATTTTTACTAGAAAGGGTTTTTCCTTTCGTTTTTTCAACTCGCTCTGCATTCTATTATAATTCATAAACTCAGTTCAAATACTACCTCCATCAGTTCATTTATAATCCTTCGAGTTATACAAATTAGAAAAATCGATATATTTTCAAAACAATAAGTAGTATCCACGGTATCAAGAAAAGGCGATACGACTTCATTTTACGAAGATGCCATTAATGGTATCGACAAAGGTTCCTGAAGGCGGTAAGTTGCAAATACCAGTAATTGCTGGTTGCTATTAACAGAACACATCCAGACTAAATCTAGTTATGATTTTATGATGTTGGCAAACTTGAATCTACCTAACCTCTTATGTCTTTGTCAGTAAAGCTCAATTTTGTCTTCATAAAAAAGTCTTCATAAATAATTTTTCCTACTAAAAACAAGATCACTGAAACATAAATGACCGTTTAAATTCACTTCTCTGGATAATAAAGAATACATTTTCAGAAGCAACTGAAGGTAATGTGGCCCTGCAAATAACCTCATAAACAAGAAAAACTAAAAAACAGATTCATTCCCAAAGCGAAAATTACCAAGGTATTACCTTTCATTCAGTTCGAATGCAAAGTGATGCAATTGATTTGTAGGCTAGAATCGGAAACTTTGCGCATATATTAAAAAATGGAAGAGTACACAAGAGAACCATGCCCCTGGAGAATAGTTGATGACTGTGGTGGTGCTTTCACGATGGGACTGATTGGAGGTGGTGTTTTTCAGAGTATCAAGGGGTTTCGTAACGCCCCATCAGGAATAAACAAAAGATTGGTAAGCTAGCTTTAAATTGAATAAATCAACATAAATAAACAAATAGTCCAATTTCCATTTGAAATTATTTCTACTGGAGACAACCATTTTAGATTGGCAGTTTAACAGCTATAAAAGCGAGGTCTCCTATAATCGCAGGAAATTTTGCTGTTTGGGGTGGTATGTTTTCGACGATAGACTGTGCCTTGATAGGAATAAGGAAGAAGGAAGATCCATGGAACTCCATAATCAGTGGAGCAGCAACAGGAGGTATGAGCAACTGTTTTGTTACACTATACTTCTGGTACTCTTTTTCCTATAATTGAATTAGTTGTGAAATTCACAGAAACAATTTTAAAATTGCCGTATCATCAGCTTAGAGTGTAATCCCACTCAATCCTTTTTTATATCAATTAGGCTGAAATATTTTTGTCACCTGTTCACAAATCTGAAGTCAAAATTTGGGTCTCTAGTCTACTTTCAAAGATACCATTCTTCAAGGTTTAAAAAATTGCATTTTTATTAATCAATCAAGATATTCTTCATGTACATGTACAATTATCACATCAAAGTACATGGTAGATATAAGTATACATTCATTATATATATATGTAGATACATCATTTTAAATACACTAAAATTACATAAGTATATACATGCATTGTGTCGAAGAATAAAGTAAAATTTATTAATAAAAACATTTGAAAATCAACAGGATAAAAATTAATTATTGCACTAAAGTGTGCTCTTTCAAAGAATAAATATCTAATTATATCCTAAAATTGTTAAAATATAATTCTGTGTCTGAAAGTTTTGAAAGGTCTTGTCTTTTTAAATATTCGTCCAACATATAATAGGGCTTTTGACTTTCTACTCCTTCATCTATATACAAAAAAAAATTGTGGGGAACTTCCAAAGGAAGGAAAGAAGTAATTAATGTCATAAATTAATCTCTCCTGAAAATATCAAATGAATGTCATTACATAAGTAAATTTGACTCATTTGTGACAAAGTCGAAATGTTATGAATGAATTGAGTGCTTCATCTTGCAATGTTACCCAGATTGGTGCTGAAGTGGCAATAAGGCAAGTGTCTTATTCGAAACATCGATGCCCGCCATGAGAGTGACAGTGTTCCGTGTAAGTGAAATTTTATTCCTTTTCATATATTATATTGTGTATCAGTCATGTAAATGACATCTGATTCAATTCCATAACGAATGTTTGAACCAGAAATTCAATAGGAAAAAGGGATTTTTCTATAATTGAATGTTCATATAAAAGTTATTTTGAAAGTGTTCTGTGTCATGTAATTCAATGTTTATACAATACAATACAATTATTTATTTATCCTGTAACATCACATGTGATATAGTACAAGTTAATAAAAGCATTAAAAAGGTCTTATATTTACAAATATTATCAGTACTAAAAACATACAAACATACAATTAAAATTCCATAAGATAATCTATTAAATGTGTTGTAACTAAATTAAAGCTGAATTGCTACTAAATTCTTTTGTTGTATAAGGACACAGATCAACAAGAACATTTTTTAGTTTTCGCTTAAAAATATGTGTTAGCAAACTCTTCAACTTCTGTGGAAGTGAATTGTACAAGTACAAGCCAAAAGTATTTGCTGATTTTTGGATAATTCCAGGTGCCTGAAGGGTACCTGTAAGTTTTCTTTTTCTTAGTATTGTGAGTATGCTTATTACAGTTCCTTTTGAAGGTATTTTGATTACAAAGTACATATGTCAACAGTTGAAGAATTAATATGTCACTGACTGGTAATATTTTATATTCTTTAAAAATATTTCGACATGAATGGTCAGGTGGACAACCCACGAGACATCTTAGGATACGCTTCTGACATAGGAACACACTAAGTGCAGCTGAAGTGTTT